CTGTGTAGGCTGTGTAGTCCTGTGTAGGCTGTGTAGTCCTGTGTAGGCTGTGTAGTTCTGTGTAGGCTGTGTAGTTCTGTGTAGGCTGTGTAGTCCTGTGTAGGCTGTGTAGTCTGTATAGGCCGTATATGTACATCTCAAGCCCCATTTTCACCAGGGTCAAAACAACACAATTTAAGTGCTTATGAATTATCCTTTATCTTTTTTCTTTATTTAATTAAAACAAATTTTTAATTCATAAAAAAAAATTCTAAATTCAATTTTTCTAAAATGTAATAAAAAAAATTATTTTTATTTCCCCCGCAGGCTTCCACTTGTCAGGCACTGTGCTCTGCAACAGAACTAACAGCACCGACAACAACAGCAACAATAACAACAACAGCAACAATAATAACAGCACCGACAACAACAACAGCAGCAACAATGGCGCCGCCGATCCTCCAAGAAATAACGAAAACAACAACGAAAATAACAACAACAACAACGGGGAGTCAGCAGCAGCAACCAACAGCAATAACAACAGCAGTAATAACAACAGCAGCAACACTAACAGCACCACCAATAACAGCAGCAACAACAACAACAGCCAACCCGATCGCTGCAGGGTCTCCATCGCCTTCGACAGGTAATGTTATTGACGCTGTTATTGACCTGTCTCTTATACACATCTAGATGTGTATAAGAGACAGGTGTAGTCCTGTGTAGGCTGTGTAGTCTGTATAGGCCGTATATGTACATCTCAAGCCCCATTTTCACCAGGGTCAAAACAACACAATTTAAGTGCTTATGAATTATCCTTTATCTTTTTTCTTTATTTAATTAAAACAAATTTTTAATTCATAAAAAAAAATTCTAAATTCAATTTTTCTAAAATGTAATAAAAAAAATTATTTTTATTTCCCCCGCAGGCTTCCACTTGTCAGGCACTGTGCTCTGCAACAGAACTAACAGCACCGACAACAACAGCAACAATAACAACAACAGCAACAATAATAACAGCACCGACAACAACAACAGCAGCAACAATGGCGCCGCCGATCCTCCAAGAAATAACGAAAACAACAACGAAAATAACAACAACAACAACGGGGAGTCAGCAGCAGCAACCAACAGCAATAACAACAGCAGTAATAACAACAGCAGCAACACTAACAGCACCACCAATAACAGCAGCAACAACAACAACAGCCAACCCGATCGCTGCAGGGTCTCCATCGCCTTCGACAGGTAATGTTATTGACGCTGTTATTGACGCTGTTATTGACGCTGTTATTGACGCTGTTATTGACGCTGTTATTGACGCTGTTATTGACGCTGTTATTGACGCTGTTATTGACGCTGTTATTGACGCTGTTATTGACGCTGTTATTGACGCTGTTATTGACGCTGTTATTGACGCTGTTATTGACGCTGTTATTGACGCTGTTATTGACGCTGTTATTGACGCTGTTATTGACGCTGTTATTGACGCTGTTATTGACGCTGTTATTGACGCTGTTATTGACGCTGTTATTGACGCTGTTATTGACGCTGTTATTGACGCTGTTATTGACGCTGTTATTGACGCTGTTATTGACGCTGTTATTGACGCTGTTATTGACGCTGTTATTGACGCTGTTATTGACGCTGTTATTGACGCTGTTATTGACGCTGTTATTGACGCTGTTATTGACGCTGTTATTGACGCTGTTATTGACGCTGTTATTGACGCTGTTATTGACGCTGTTATTGACGCTGTTATTGACGCTGTTATTGACGCTGTTATTGACGCTGTTATTGACGCTGTTATTGACGCTGTTATTGACGCTGTTATTGACGCTGTTATTGACGCTGTTATTGACGCTGTTATTGACGCTGTTATTGACGCTGTTATTGACGCTGTTATTGACGCTGTTATTGACGCTGTTATTGACGCTGTTATTGACGCTGTTATTGACGCTGTTATTGACGCTGTTATTGACGCTGTTATTGACGCTGTTATTGACGCTGTTATTGACGCTGTTATTGACGCTGTTATTGACGCTGTTATTGACGCTGTTATTGACGCTGTTATTGACGCTGTTATTGACGCTGTTATTGACGCTGTTATTGACGCTGTTATTGACGCTGTTATTGACGCTGTTATTGACGCTGTTATTGACGCTGTTATTGACGCTGTTATTGACGCTGTTATTGACGCTGTTATTGACGCTGTTATTGACGCTGTTATTGACGCTGTTATTGACGCTGTTATTGACGCTGTTATTGACGCTGTTATTGACGCTGTTATTGACGCTGTTATTGACGCTGTTATTGACGCTGTTATTGACGCTGTTATTGACGCTGTTATTGACGCTGTTATTGACGCTGTTATTGACGTACGTAACGCACACCACACACACGTGTACGTAACTCACTCAACGCACACGTGTACGCAAAGCACATGACGCACACGTGTACGTAACGCACACGTGTACGTAACGCACATGACGCACACGTGTACGTAGCTCACTCAACGTACACGTGTACGCAGTGCACACGTGTACGTAACGCACACCACGCACACGTCTCGGCTCCGCACTCTCGCTTTAAATCGCCTGCCCCGCCCATAGCCACGCACACGTGTGCGTTACGTACACGTGTGCGTGGTGTGCGTTACGCACACGTGTGCGTGGTATGCGTAACGTACACGTGTGCGTGGTGTGCGTAACGTACACGTGTGCGTGGTGTGCGTTACGTACACGTGTGCGTGAATAACCCTTTCCCCCTTATATTTTATTTAGTGTACCAGTAGCAGGTATAGTGGTAGAAAAGTATGAAAAAAATGTTGAATGAAAACTATAATAAACAAACGACAAATACAAATAAATACATGTAAATAATAAATAAATACAATACATAAATACATGTGTTCTTTTTGCTATAGTTCGTATTTTGGTCCCAAAATTCAGAGCCTTTATGGAATAAAGAAACAACGATTATTTATAACTATTTAATATAACTATTTATCTAATTTAACGAAAGAAAATAAATAAAGAAAAGATAACAGACTAAACAGACTAAACATGCTAAACAGACTAAACAGACTAAACAGACTAAACATGCTAAACAGACTAAACAGACTAAACGGACTAAACAGACTAAACGGACTAAACAGACTAAACAGACTAAACAGACTAAATGACTAAACGGACTAAACAGACTAAACAGACTAAACAGACTAAACAGACTAAACAGACTAAACAGACTAAACAGACTAAACAGACTAAACAGACTAAAC